CGGGGCGCGGCGCGTGGGGCGCACGGCGCGGCGCCGGCCCATGAGGCTCCCGGGCTCCGGGCGCGGAAGCGCGGGCCGGCCATGGGAGGCAGTCTGCGAGTGGCCGTGCTTGGCGCCCCAGGTGTGGGCAAGACAGCCATCATCCGCCAGTTCCTGTTTGGCGACTACCCCGAGCGCCACCGGCCCACGGACGGGCCGCACCTCTACCGGCCCGCGGTGCTGCTCGACGGCGCTGTCTACGACCTGAGCATCCGCGACGGCGATGGCTCTGCCCCGGGTCCGAGCTCCAAGAGCCCTGAGGTAGGGACCTGAGAGGAGGGCTGGGTCATGGGGGTGCCGCAGGTAGCCTGGCAGCGTTCAGGAATCGAAGGGGGGGTGTAAGCACGAGTTTCTTTCCTGGTGAAGATATTTCCCACCCCTTCCCCTGGATAAGGGCGCTCCAAGTGCAAGCCTGAGGCCTGGTGAGTTTGCAAAGTGGCTTTTTGTCGCCTTTCAGGGTGCCGGGCTCTTTGCCTGAGTGACCCAGCGGGGGTTGCGCATCTGGAGAGCGGCATTTGGGGCGTTGTGCAGAGCTGCATTGAGAGGGAGTAGACAGACAACAAGGGTGTACTTTCTCGAGGGTCATTCTCAGCCGGCTCCCTCCTTCCTATGACCTGGGGTAAAGACTTTCATAATTTGTGCCAAGTGTTGAACAGACTTGAAGTCCTTGGAGACCACTTCAAAGATGAAAAGAAAAAAAAAAAGAGCAGACAGGATTAGGAAGAGCTGCATGGAGGGAGTCGCATTTGGGCCTAGTCAGGAAAGATGAGTGAGATTTTGATTAAAAGAGGTGGCCGAGCCTTCCAGGTTAAAGAACATTTTCCAGGTTACTGAGTAAGTTTAGGCAAGACGTCTAAATGTACAGGGGCTGCGCCAGTGAGGCACACAGCGCTCTGCTGAGGACGTTGTAATTGGTCTTGGAAATGGTGGGAGTCAGTGAGGGCATTTGAGGTGGGGAGTGACCTCACTCAAGTTGTTTGTGTAGAGCTGGAAGGAAGAGGAGGGGTGCAGGAGGGGTGCCCCTCCATCTGCTCTCCACCTCTCCTGCCCAGAGCTGGTAGCTGCCAGGTTCTGAGCACGGTTTGAAAATTTTTACCATTCGGATGGTAAGACCAAGAACGTGGGGAGGAGGGAGAGTGAGAAGGGAAAGAGGGGTGCACAAATGGGGATGGGGGTGGTGTGAAGATGAGCTGTGGGCTTGGCGTGGTGGTCCCTGAAAACCCGGGCCTCCCTTTTCCAGGAGTGGCAAGACCCTAAGGGCTGGAACTTGCAGGACACGGACGCCTTCGTGCTCGTCTATGACATCTGCAGCCCTGACAGTTTCGACTATGTGAAGGCGCTGCGCCAGCGCATCGCTGAGATCAGGTGGAGTCGTGGGGGCTAAGGGGACTTTTGTTGGGCCTGTGATGATGGGTGGGTTGGGTCTTAGGCAGTCCAGGCAAAGCCTTTTTCTGGCTGTGTAATGTCTTATATGCACAGGGACCAGATGCTTGCTGGGAATCTCTGGCTACAGGAGAGAATGCCCTTGACCTGTATAGACACATCTGAGGGTATTTTCCAGCTGTGGGGTGCCTGGCAAAACATCTGACTCTCCTCTGCCCCTCCCCCAGGCCGGCAGGGGCGCCGGAGGCTCCCATCCTGGTGGTAGGTAACAAGCGGGACCGGCAGAGGCTGCGTTTCGGGCCCCGGCGCGCACTGGCCGCCCTGGTGCGCAGGGGCTGGCGCTGTGGCTACCTCGAGTGCTCGGCCAAGTACAACTGGCACGTGCTGCGTCTCTTCCGGGAGCTGCTGCGCTGCGCGCTGGTGCGGGCCCGCCCTGCACACCCGGCCCTCCGCCTGCAGGGGGCGCTGCACCCGGCGCGCTGCACTCTCATGTGACCGACTTGGACAAGGGCTTCCTGGCACAGCCAGGGCTCTGATTGGATGAGACTGCCCAACCTTTCTCTGATTGGACGAGTCTCCACCCCGCTTGGAGGACAATTCTCTCCCCAGTCGTCTGGGCTTTTCGGTATTTTCATTGGACCCAGCCTTGTCTCAATTCTCTGGATTTTTCTGGGCTCTCTTTGGGGCGGACAGTCTGAATGCCATGGGTTAGGAAGGACCTGGCCATTCATCCAAATGGGAACTCTCAGGCTGCCTTTGGAGTTTCAGGTTCAAACACTACCATCACCGCCCCATCCCCACCCTCCCAATGGCAATAAAGCAGCCAATCCGCTTCAGCGGCATTTGACATTTCTGCGATGGGCAGACCTGGGGGCGGGGCGGGGGGGTGGTTTGCAGCAAGTTGCTTTATTGGCATTTGGTATTTTGGGGATAGAAAACCCGTAAGGGGGTTGGGGCGGGCTTGGGCCTAAATCAGATTTGCAGGGCAAGTTCAAGATTCTGGTAGTGCCGTTCACTGGGAATTATGCTGCTACTTCAAAGATAGTGCCCCTCTGGTGGTTCAAATCCTCCAGCCACTCTGTGGAGAAAGATGGGCAATCTCCTCCCGTGTGACTGACTGACAGCCTCAGAAACCACTACCCCCGCCCCCTCTCAGGGTCAGCTATGAGGTGGTCCCAACTTGACATCAGTGAGTGAATGAGGGCCCCAAAGCCAACACCCTAAGAAAGAAACGAAGTGGCTGCAGCAAAACTTTACTTTCAGAGGCTGTACGGGCCACTGGCCCCCCGTACGCTAGGCCAGCCAGGCCTCCTCTAAGGCATTCAATAATATTAGTAATTAAATAGCAGTGCTCGCCCCCCCACACCCGGAATGTACAACAGTGGTCCCATTGTGCCACGTGGTCCCGAGAGGGCTGGTCCCATGAGGTCTGACACCCAAGAGGCAGAGGGAGCTCCCTGATGCAGAAGGGTTAAGGCCACAAAGGAAAAGGGAAGGAACTGGGCTGGGGTCAGCTGGACTGGTCCATCACATCCATGAATCAGGCTCAGCCTTTGGGCTGATGGAGCGCAGGGCACGCAGGGCCCCAGGTTCTGTGGGTTCAGACAGGCGGCGGGGGCCCCGTGGTGTGGGGATGCGAGAGGGCTTCCCGTCTGGCTGTGTGTCCATCCGGCCCCGGGCCCAGGTCCTCAAGGGCTCTGGGCCAGCCACGGGGGTCCTGGGTACATCAGGTGGCCCCCCAATACCAGGGCAGGGGCTGCCTTCGTCGGAAGAGCTGGATAGGGCTGGGCCTCGGGTTCCGGGCAGCCCATTGGCTATCCGGGCAGGGTCCCCGAGGGGGCCACACTTGCCACCCAGGATGCTGAGGGAGGAGGAAGAGGAGCTGGAAGAACAGTAGGCCGAGTCAGGGGCTGGAGGGTCCAGGGCTGGAGCTGGGTCAGGGGCAGGGCCGATGGGGTTCCCACCAGCAGCAGCCGCCTCGAGGGCCCGGGCGTTGGCCAGGAACTCTTCTTCCAGGCGCTGGAACAGCTGCTGTTCTTGCTGCGGGTCCAGCTGGAGAGGTGTGCGGAAGACGCTGGCCGGTGTGCTGCCCAACTCCGGAACCGGGCTGGAAACTCGAGAGGACCGGAGGACCGCCGGGCTGCGGGCTCGGGGTGTCCGGGGGCTGCTCCTGCCCGAGTCCCTGTTGCCCCGTGGCACCCACGAGTGCTGCCCATCTCGGTCCCTGCGTACTAGCAGCACAGCCTGCTCCTCCCGGCTCTGGCTCTGCGCCCGGCGGGCAGGGCTGGGGGTCACTGGCTGGGTCCCCCTGCCCCCTGGGGCTCCCCGGGGCCGACCCCGATCCAGCTGCTCTCGGGACTGGCTGCGTGGGGCCGGGGGCCGCCTCGGGGAGGCTGGGGGGCCCGTTGTCACCCGCCGACTGGGTCGATCCCTGCGGGGCCCAGTGCCTGTGTCGTCACTGCGAGTACTGAGGGGGCCGCTCTGGGCTGAGGAAGCCGAGGAGTCACTGTCCCCCGAATAGCGGCGGGAGCGGGGGTGGGGGGGCAGCTGATCTCGGGGCCTGGGGTGAGGGAAGAAGAGAGATGGGCACATCACAGAGGGAGCAGGAGGAGGTGTGAGCATATGTGTGTGGTCAGTGGCAGTAGGCCCTGTGGCCAACAGTGGCAGCTGGGAGCCTCTGTCTAGCTTGGGGACTTCCAGGGAGAAGTATGACACCCGCAGCAGCAGCTTCCTCTGGTCACTCAGGGCCTCAGAGCCAGTGAAGGAAGCGTGGCCTCGCCCCCCCCCCCCCTGCCCCCCCCCCCCCCCCCAGGCTCTCCACTTGAGGGGGGCGGGCCAGAAGGAAGTAAGGTTGGACTGACTGGCTGCCTGCCCGCTAGGGCCTGCCCAGCTGTGTTGTTGGTTTGGTTGGGTTGTCATGGAGATGGGAAGCCAGGCCCTGCCCCCCCCCACAGGGAACTTTTCCCAGAGTGTGAGTCACTGTGGAGGACTGGCTCCTCCTCTGCGTGGCCAGCGAGATGCCCCCACCCCCTCATCCCTCCCTACGGCCTCCCAAGGCTGGCTCACCTGAGCAGGGTCTCTTGCCCCTCCTTGGGGCTGCGTAGGATAACAGGGGTCGCCTCGGGTCTGGAGCTGCGGCGCTCACCCCCAGGGACCGGGCTACCAGGTCGGGGGCTGGGGGCGGGCGACACCTTCTGGGGAGAGAAGGTTCCGGCCCTGGACTGGAGAGGGCGGTGGGCTGCAGGGAGAGAGGCCAAGTGGCTGTGAGGTTAAAAGATCAGAGGTGGGCAAAGCCCATCACACCCACCCTCTGGACACTGACCAGTGGAAGAGCAGCGACACGGGTCATGCTTGTCCAGGTAATGCTCCAGAGTGTCCCAGCCACCACCCACGCGCACCATCACGTGACTCCTCAGCACCTGTCAGGCCAACGTGGGCAGGTCAAAGGGGGGGATTTCATGTCCCTGCGCCTGGAAGCCCAATACCCCCAGCAACCAATGCCTGGGGCAGCACGTGACCTCTTACCCGCACAAAGATGAGCAGGCTGGAATCTCCCACGCGGTACTTCCCCTCTGAGACCTTGATCATGGGAAACTGGTCTGGGCAGGTGCATTGTCCCAAGATCTCCCTCACCTGCAGGAGCGCAGGGGTTGGAGGTCAGGGGTCAAGGCCCTCCCCCTGGAACTTAATGTCAACTGCCCTCCAAGTCAGGAGGAAGTGAACCCTTGGGGAGGCGCTACCTCTTGACCTTTAACCAGCAAGTCTTTCAGGTTGTCAGGAGTCAGAGAACTGTCCCAAAAGGGAGGGGACAGAGCTGTGGTCAGGCCAGACATGGGCAGGGCGCCTTCCCCAGAACCCATCCTCTCTCCACCCATTTTCCAGACAATGAGGAGGGGGCCTGATTTCCCTGGTGGGGTACTGAGGTGAGGTGCCAGGACACGTGGGCACATGCACAGCCCAACATGCACACGCAGGCCCCAGTGAACATGGGGCTGGGACTGCCAAGCTGGCTGTGTGGGCGACCCCACCCACCTCTCCACCAGCAGCGGCGCCAAAGGAAACGAGCAGGTGGAGCCTGGGCTGACGACCTAGCCCTGGGCAGTGTGGGCGGGAGGCAGCTTCTGCCCCCTCTGTCCAGCTACCCCCCTTCAGAACAGGCACACACTAGCTCAACCTCCTGATAAGAAAGAAACTTGAAGCCTGGCCGGAGGGGCTGGAGGGACACCATGCTCCTGGGAGAAGAGTGAGGGAGCTGGGGACATGAAACTCCTCCACTCAGAGTGAGACTAACGCTGCATTTCCAGAAAGGGCTGCCAGTCCCACTGCCAGCAACTCAGGGCTGGCTTCCCAAGTGTGTGCAGGGCCCTGGAGTCTCCGCATGCCTAATGTACGCTGGGCAGCATCCCAGCCAAGCAGCAGCCACTCACTCTTGTCTCTGAAGCTCTGGGAGGGTGTGGAACCTGGTGTGCACACAGGAGGTGCTCAAGCCATGTGGCCTCCTGGATGAACTAATGCATACAACATAGTGGGGGAAGGGAACCCTGGAGGCTTAGCGGTAAGGAGTTGTGCTGCCAATTCAAAGGGACATGGTTCAAATCCACCAACGGTTCTGCAAAAGAAAGCTGGGCAATCTCCTCTGATGCAATTTATTGCCTCTAAACACCCCTGGCGGGTTAGCTATGAGTCATCTGGCCTCGGTGGCACATAACAGCTTAGTGGAGGAGGTCACAAGACCTCACCTGGCATCATCCCCACTCACCTAGCCACTTCCTGAAGCCAAGAACAACACACTTGTTGCTCAGCACAGGCACCATGCCATCCTTCTCACGAGGCCTCTGTACCAAGATGTCCCCGAGAGGCAGGATGCAAGCTATCGCCCACACATGCACCCACAGGCCACTCACCAGCTCGTCCAGGTTGCGAAGGTCACTGGGCGTCATGGTCATGCGGGGTCCTCGGTGTGGGGCCCCTGTTGCAGTAGCAGCCTCAGTGGGGTCCTCCCCAGTTGTGGGGGCATTGGGGGCTGGGGGTGTGGCACGCAGCTCCCGCTCAATCTCCTGCTCGAACTGCACGAGGCGCGGGGCAAGCAGGCCAAGGCGGGCCCCGCGCCGGGCCACCTCCAGCAGGCACAGCACCACGCTCTTCTCGTTCTTCCGCAGCACCAAGTCCTCGGTCTCAAACATGAGCACTTCGGGCACTCCCAGCTCCACGCGGCACCAGCCGATGAAGGTGGCCACGTTGTCGCGGGCCATGAAGGAGCCGGGGGCCACGGTGTGCCCTTGGAAGGTCACACCACGAGCTGGCCGAGAGGCAGCCATGGCGCGGGCGGCCTCAGTGACAGCGTTGGCATGCTGGCACAGGGTAGTGCCTGTGGCCAGCCCGGCCAGGAAGCCATCGCCACCACTAGGCAGCCCCAGGCCATACAAGGCATTGAGCCACTCAGCCAGGTCTTCCTTCATGGCCTCCACATACGCCTCACTTGAGCGGAAAGGCCGCACGCTCTTGGCTGCTGAGCCCGCAATGGTTGCCAATGGGTCCGCCATGCCCGGGCCAGCTAGATCACTGTGGGCAGGGACACAGGTCAGGACTGCTAGGACGACTCAGTAACACCCACAACAAGCTGAGCCACTGACCACCTGCGTAGTCAGGCCAAACACCTGGGTTTCAGACACTGCGCCTCAGTCTCCTCATCTGTAAAATGGGAACAGCAATAGTCTCTACCTCATAGGATTTACAGGGGAGCTTTCATGGTCTACACCATGGGAAGTTTAATAGTAATAGTTTCTACCTTCTAGGATTCAGGGTAGCTCCTGTGGTCTATACCACAGAGATAGCTACTAACTCAAAGTCTACATGCCTCTGGCGGTTCAATTCCACTTCCATGCTATTCAGTCTCAGAAACCCAATGGTGGGTCAGCTGTTCCCATTCCATGACAATGCATTTGAGTTTCATCAGAGGCAAATGGTAACTGTTACAGATGAGTGTCCACACACCTCAGGAACAGGTTCTTTTCTGATGAGGAAGGTGGGTGAAGGGTTAGCTCAATGTCCAACATCGCTGACCCATTTTCCAGATGAAGAACTGGGCCCTCAGTGTCTAAACTCCCAAGCTGAGTCGCCCCCTCCGCCCCTCCAACTGGACCCCACAACGAATAGAGGAGGCTGTGATCCCCAAGAGCGTTATCTCCAGGGCTCTGGGTCAGAGACTGGTGATATCCCAGTCCCTCTCTCCTAAGCATCTATTATAACAGCAGTAATAATAACATTAACAGCCAAGAGAGAGGCCTGGCTGAGCGCGTGGTGCACACACTTGAGGCTTCCCAGCACCTTCGGGTGATAATCATTTTTCAAATAAGCAAAGTGAATGACAGAGACCAGGATGCTGGCTCAAGGTCGTAGAGCAGCCGCGTTGTGAATCTCGGGGCGCGATCCCGCAGCCTGGACATTGAGGGGCTAGGCCCCGCCTCCTCCAAGAAGCCCTCCCAGCGCCCCAGTGCGGCGCGTGCAGGCCCAAGACTCCGACAGGCCTGCGCTCGGCCCCGCCTGTCCTCGGAACCTCGGCCCAGAGAGGGTGCGGGGCCGGCCAAGGTCACACAGCTCCGGGGGACCGAGGCCGTCGCCGCCCGCTCGCGGCCGCGCGGGGCCCAGCGCGCTCACCTGGCTCACCCCGCAGCTCCGGGCAGCATCGTCTCGGCAGGC